AGTTGTGGGGGTTGTTTGTCCATTTTGTCTGTAAGTGTATTAGTCTTTCCGAAATTTTTGTCATGTTTGTGCGTTCGTATAGTAGTTGGTTGGAAGGGTTGTGCAGTGGGTTTTGGGGGTGTCTTATTCGTGTTATTAGTCTTAGTGCAATTTGTTCTGTTGTTTGAACGTATCGTTTTGTCCTTTCTGTTCCGTTGACCATGAGTATATGTCCGTAGTCCAAGAGGAGTCTGCAGATCGCTTTATATATTTTATTCGCGGTATTTGTACTAATTCCTTTGTCCTTGTATGTTAGTGATCGAAAGTGTTTTGTTCTTTTTATCATTTCTGTTCTGATGTTTCGTGTGTGTTTAGTGAATTTCAGTTTGTGGTCGATTGTAATCCCAAGGTACCTTACGTCGTTTTTCGGTTGTGTTATTTTTCCGTCTGCTATTATATTTAACGGAGAATCGAATAAAAACAATAAACACTTTCCAACTTAATAAAAATTCATGTAAACTTCGCTACAATTTGGTTGCAATTTTTTTATTGCCACCCGGTAAACTTAACAGAAACACATAGGAAACGTAACAGTTAATTCAATTAGCAATTGGTTTTCCAAAAACCTTATAAAGGGTATTTTTTTAGTGCTATAGAGCTTTGAACTGAAATAAAACTCATACAAATCATGCTAAAGGCAATTGTATCCCATTATAGCTTAAGTGTGATTTGGGTTATTTATGCGCCGCGGCTGGATCAAAGAAGAGTAATCTGGAAGTCCAATTTTCGACCATTGCCAAAATTCCACCAGGCGATAAAACACACCAAACAGTGAGTCTTATGGAAATAACGGTGTTTCAATAATGGCTTCTGGATTTTCGTCAATCAAAATCCGGTAAGACCGTAAAATGAACGTAGCGCACGGTGAGTTTGGCGAACTGAACAGCGATTTTCGAAATAAATTGCCAAATTTGGAGGGACGAAAATCCAAAATCCGAAAGCCCTTTTTGAGGCGCTCTTATATCCAGAAAAACTCACTGTTTGAGGCGTTTTTTTATGTCCTGGTGCACGAGAGTGAGATTGTAAAGTGCTCGAAAATTAGGGTTCCTCCGTGGATTGATCTTCATTCGAGCCAGCCGCGCCCATATGCCCCAAATCATATTTAAGCTATAATGGCATACAAACGCCTGTTCAATAAAGGCAGTTTAGTTTAACGTTCTATACCTCTAAAAAACACACTTTATGTAAAAATTTAGCGGCATTAATTTATAAACATTCAATTTAGCATCCTAACTCTCTTTACAGGTTAGAGCAAATGGGACTTAAAGTCGAGCGGACTTATGTTAACAAAAATAACACGAATTCTCCAGAAAAATCTCCCGAAGAGTCACAAGACAACTCGACACCAGAAAAAATTCCAGATGACCAGGAAGCCGAAGATTTGGTGTGTATGTATGATGTAGAAAAAGTGGCATGCGATGCAGTGGCATTAGATGATTCTGATATAACCATTTCAAATGTGTCGTCCCCTGACGCAGATATAATTTTATCAGACGATAAGGCCTTGTTAACTTTTGATGACATTTTGAAGGGTATTGTAAAGTGCAATCAAAAAAATATTCCAGTTCAATCCCCATCTCCGATAAAAGAGTCTTTAAAGGACGCACTTGAAAGTTTGGATTAACTAAGTCTGTTGCTTTGGTTTAAAGTAACTATATTGAACAGAACCTTCCCTTAGAGAATATGAGGGATTTCTTTTCAATATTTATTGAATAGAGTGTAATGTGATATGATAATTGCATTTTGAAATATGAATTAATCGAGTGCACTGTTTGAGTCATCAATTCGCTTTTCCTATTTCCTAGTTGGGTGGCTTTATTTGTAGTAAAAATGTAGATTATTCTTATCCGGAAATTAAGTTGCGTTATGTGATTTAGACTAGCAAAATATCACCAATCACAAACATTGCTTCGTAAACGCCATCCAACATTCAAACGGGTTTTTTTATGTTAGCAGATATTAAACTATCTGGTTTAACTCAGATTAAATTTTCCTTGATATGCAGTTATTACTTATTAGAAACTAAACTTTTATTTGAAATATTGCGTTTTCTTGAATTGTAGGTCTATGGATTCGAAAAATAAACATTTGCAATTTAAAATCTATAAAATTAATTTAAAATTGTAATGCGGTTTTTTTGGCGGTTAAAAAACATACTTCAACCGGCATATATTTCAGGAAAATGCAGTAATAACCAATTGAATCAGTTATATGATTCGTTCAGTGCTTTAAGACTATGTTGCATGTGAGAGAGTGTTTAGTTTTATTTTTAGGTTTCGGATATCCTAATGTTAATCAAGTTACGGCAAACTAAATCTAATAATAATTACCAAAAAAAAGTGGGATAGTAGGTAGAAAATGTTTAGTTAGAAAATGCAAAAACATATTTGAATTAATAAACTTGATTCAAATTTACGTTGTTTAAGATTACAATAAGTGTAATACGCTTCTTATTTCTGATTGTTCTTATGCCAGTAAATTGTTTGTTTATTTTTGTGTAAATAGCATATATGTACTATTTTATCCATGTTCGGTTAATGGACTTTGCTTGTTGGAGTAACTTCACCAGTGAATGTTCTTCTTCAAAATATACTATTGCAAGAACATTTTAGACTGTTATTGTTCTAGTATGTTTCTTCGGAGTTTCTTTGGTATTGCGTACAGCTGATATTAATATCGCATTTTTACTAGTCGTTCATTTTTATTATATTTATAGGACATTTGTCTATACTCATTCTAAAATAACTTTTGCCTATAAAACATTAATTGACTTAAAAAAAGTGAAGTTAAGATTGGATGACATAGGTATTTAAATGTTAATTGGAAGTAGTGTAGCATTAGTGTAATATATTTTTAACGTTACATTTTTAAATCGACTTGGCTAGGAGAACTCCGGGAGGTAAAACATGTAAAAAAGCGTTGAAGGAATTACATTGTTTAGTTGCTATCTGGTCCTGGCGTTTTATGTCATGATTTCCTTATTTTAATTTTGTTTCTGTTTATATCCGAAATACTATATTCGTTTTTGTACAAAACTTGCTACTTAAAGACTGCTTCAATATAACTAGTTTAATTTTATTTATTCTCCCAATTCTATGTACAGTTTTAATTTAGGAAATTTTTATTTCATGCAAATGTTTTTCATTTTCCCTTCTCACGATTGGGATGTTGTATTGCAATTTAATTAATCATAAGGTGTAAACATCTGTGTATACTATTCATTTAGTTCCATTTTAAAATTAATGCTTTTTGACTGCAAAACTTCAAATTTCAATTGGTGGAGGATCTAAGTGGTTAACCCGTAAATATTATATAAGCAAATTGCTGAAAAATGTAACATAAAAAAGCTAGATCTCAAATTGATGAATTTGTAAAAACTTGGAAAGGTTTTTATCTGTAATAATATATCTGTAGATCAGATTGTCCTTAATATTTTTTATTATAATAATGAATTGAATTTCATTAGAATGTTCGTGAAAGTATAAAATATATTTTCGAAAAATACTTTTTCGTTTTTCATAACAGTTTTAATTGCTTGTTGCGATTCGATTCAAGAATGGGATGTTTGGATCGACATTTATAGATGTCCGCTAATTTAGAGTATTAAAATATATGTTTCTAATATTGCGTTAGTAAATATACTGGTAAGTTTATTTTATGACAGAATTGTAGTTAATTGTCGAGTTAATAAAATTTTTATTGCATTACAACGGTTGTTTTAATGTTTGGTTTCAAGATTGGCTTTGATACGAAATGTGGAGAATGAAATAAAACATTGTTTTATTTAAGTGCTTGCAAATAAATTGGCTACTCAGATAAATTTATTGATATTGTTGGTTTTGTATGTTGCTGACTGTATCAAGTTATGGTTTTCCATTGAAGTGTTGAAATCAGTATGTGGGCTGGATTTTTAGTAGTTATAAAATATGCGAATGCTGTTTTACAACTAATTTTTGTTTTAAGATTTAACTGCAATATGCGAACCGGTTTAACATTAGTGCCATTCCACCAAAGATGTTCAGGCAGGAAAGAAAAACTGGAAAAAAATGTATGAATATGTTTTTAACTTAAAGAATATTAATTTCTCTTAACGGTATACTATTCTTACGAATATCATTTTTTTCTTATTAGAAACTATTCCTTGTTTTCAGTTTTACGTCTCGTAGTTATATTATATATTAGTAACTGTGTAACGTGTATTTGCCGTTAAAATATGTAATGGCATTTATAACGGCTTATCAATCAGCTTGCTTCCATTAACGATTTTCAAAAAAGAGCGTTAATAACTACTGAAGCGAATTTAATGAAATGTAAATTATCCCCTATGGGTTTTTGCACTCATCAATATATTCAGATGAAACACCCCATCTGCCTGTCGGATTATGTGCCATTATGTGGGACGTTATTTCGATTACTTCGCCTAGTTTGGATATTTCATATTAAATAGTAAATGCACCAAGCACAATTTCTCTATGAGGATAATAAAACGAAACAAAGACACAGCTGTAAATAATAAATTCGAAACTGAGTCATTATCTTGCCCATTTCCATAGGCGGTTAGTAAGTAATCATGAATTTAAATAAGACAAAACAAGCCAGGTGGAAAAACGTGCAAATTACTACCTGCGATAAATCCACTAGGCAATACTTGGCAAAACGTATAGTTGTGGTCTTGTTGTAAAGGTTCATATTCTATTTATTTTTGAGAAAGTTTTCAAATTTTTGTTTTGAATGCTGCATCAAAGCTGAAAGTGTGTTTTTCGACAAGATAAACTAATTCGTATTTCCGATTTCATCCCCAGTATATGATGAAAAATTTTGACTGCCAAATATTGAGTGTTTTTTTTGTGTGAATTATAGTTCTAACTCTAGCTGTTATTTGAAATATTTAATTTCCGGTGGAAAATCGCAGCTACAGCAGCAAACTGCCATTCTGACCATCTTTTATATAGGGTTAAAGCAAAAAAATCGATTGATTTTAGTTTCTAGCAAATTAAATTATTTACTAAGCGTAAATAAATATTTCACTTCTAAAGTTAAGTGGAGTTGAAATGCTACATTACTTGTCCGAAATAAGAATAGACTAGTCGAATTTGAAGCTAAACTATAGGTACATACTAGAACCTCTTCTTAAGTTGTAACCATGTAGAAAAAGTTCAGGATATCTCTATTTTTTCATCAGGAAATAATTTTTCTTAGAATCTATTTTAAACTAAAATGGCTTCTTAATTTGGCAATATCGAAAATTGGCACAAAAAAGTTAAAAAGTTACATATTTGAGTGCTCAAGTAAACATCAATCTTCCCGGAATAATCAGGTTTTAAACGTTTGAGAATAACATCTCTTTCTCCATTCTAAATCATTTAAAAAGCCAGGGGCGAAAAAAGCACAGAAAACTAAAAAAAAACTACCCAATGGCAATTTATAATTTATGAATAAAATATTCTTATAGCAAATAGTTAAAAAGATGCCAGACAATTAAATTTTGGAAAACGGTAAACATTTTAAACAAATCAGGTAAATAAAATGTCTAAACAATTTTAGGCATTTATAAAAAAGTAGCACCAAAAACACCGTATGTAACTCCTTGTGTAAAGAGAGATGTTTAAGAGCTATGTTTAACTGTTTTTATATAGTTTTTGCGAATTTTGCGATAAACTCAATTTAAAAATGTACACAATTTACTTTTCTTTAAGCTGCTCATTTCTGAAATTAAATACTAATTTAATATTATACTACAAATTAAGTGATAATGATCACAGTCATCACAAGCTTGAATACAATTCTAACATGTTCTCAAATATCCAAGTATTATCTGAAAAAAAATTAGCAATGTTAGTAGGTGAACGCCTTTCGAATGAATCAATATTCGCCTTCAATAGCAATGGGAGGGTCTCTTAAAAAAAAAAACAACCATTTTTCGTATAAAATGAATTTTTTTTCAAGTATTTTAAATAGTACTTACTACATACTACATTTCACAGCAAACGCGAGAGTTCTCAATCTGAAAATCGTTGCTCTATTTAAAATTGCATATCCGACCGATAAAATTACATTACGGTAAATAAAAACGTTTTTTTTTTAGAAAAGCGGCAAGTGTTCACATAAAACTGAAGACGAATTGCATTTTTTACAGTTTTGAAGGATCAAATTGCGGACGGTGTTTCATATACGCGAACCAACATTTTATAACTCATTCAAATTTTTCCTTAAAGAATGAGCTATTCAAATGAGTACAGTGCGTTACGTAACACCTGTTTAACTAAACATAAAAAATAAAATAAAATTATGGGCAACATTTACATACCAATATATTAAAATTTAGTTTCATATTTTTGATGATTTAAATTGAAAAAAAACTTCCACCTTTGTTCTGAGGATCCATGCGGAGAAAGCCATTCACTATACAATATCGTGAGTGTTGTCTTTACATTGATCTCACGACAATGCAAGAGAAAGGCCAGTTCAAAACTGCATCTCTTTTGCGTTTCAAAAAAATTCTTCTTCCGCATTCATATCGAGTAAATAAGATAAATCTTGCTGTTCCGAAAATTATAAGCTTCGGATTTGAAAAGTATACACTTTGATCAATTTGATGATGGAAGTGCGAAGGTGTTGTTGAAACTGGGAATGTTTAGTAGTCAATTATTTTTATTGATGACAAACTAAACTACGTAACAGGATTTGCATGATACATGATTAATATTTGAAGAAAGTAATTTTTATTAATAAATAAAAATAATAATTTTCATAAATAAGTGGAAGTATGGATGGTATTCCTATAACCTAGTATTTGTATGAAGTAATACTTGAGAAAAATGCGAGAAAACGCTTTGTTCTCGATAAATTACCGTTAGCAATTTTCGCGTCCAAAACCGTAATATACAAGGAAACAAGAAAAACGGCTCGTAACTCATTAGAAGACAGGAGCGCATGACGATCTTTTAATGATATAATAGAAATACCGCTGCAATTTGGGTTTAGGTTCTGCTATAATTATAAATAATAGTATATACAATATACTATGAGGATTTCTTAATCCGTTCGTACCTTAGGCAACAGCTAAAGTTGATTTTCAAAAATTAAATTGTTAAATCATCAATATGAAAAAATCCAACTAAAACAGAAGTCATTTAGATCTAACATTGAAAAATTGAAAATCTTGGTAATGCTTTTTTATCGAGCCATATAAGTAAAAAAAATAATTTTCTTATTATATCTTCCGCCCTATAATTAATTTCTTTTGTACCTGACCGACCTCGTTTCAGGTCATTAGGCAATTTTATAAAACTCAGTATTTCCGCCATATAATTGATGTGGGGTATTAGGGCAATATATTAATTTAATTAATTAGTTTTGCCAGTGAATTTAATGGTAAGTTAGTCTGCTACAGTTCGCCTTCACACTTGTGGCACTCGATTACTTATACAAAACGGGCTTCAGATAAAATAATAAAAATGCGTTCTTCAAGTTGCTGGTTTGAGCACCAATAAATCAATTGCCCGTGTAATTAGGAAGCAGACAGCAACATTTGAAAATATACTAGTCTAATTGTTTCAGATACTGAGCAAAGAAAACAACATGAAAATGAAGACGGGAATACTTGAAGAAGAGACGAGAGCAATTATAAATAATCAAAAGAAAACCGCAGAATTTTAACAATTATTTATCTTCTAGGGTCACTTTCGCTTTATGATAACTAGATGTTAAGCAGATATTTGTTATTACTATATAGTGAACGGTTTTACGCATTTTACATTTGATTTAATTTTTAAAAAACAAAGTAGGATCAAAGTTGTGCGAATAAATTGAAGCAAACAATGAAAATTTACGCATTTACTTAATTTATTGTGAAGTCGTTAAATAATCTAAAGATTTCAAGCTTTCTAGGTAAAAAAATTCCTTAGTGACAGGTTGATTGACAATTTTTAATTTATCTCTCTCTCTCTTATAATATTTTGTGAAGACATTTGTTGTCTTCTTTTAAATTTGTTAAGATACGTTTTAAGATTTCAGTTATTTATATATTTTTTAAGAATATTGCACTATAATAATAAATACCCAAGGAATAAATATACAAAACTGGACCATTTCTCTTCGCATCAAGCACTCTGGGTTTCATTTTATTTTCTAAATTTGCAATAAACTAACTAACGCGAACTTCCTAAGAATTTAACGTGCCCAAACCATTTTATCCATGATATGTCGAATTACCTTTTTCTAACAGTTTTTATTTAATTTTTATGTTGTTACTTTAACGGTTAACTTATATTAATTATATAATAAACATATTGCGAACATTGTATTTTCGTGTAAACCAAATCAAACAATAAGTTCTGCTATGCAATTTGTCATTTTTGTTCATGCTATAAAATATACGTTTAAAGACAAACAATGAGCATTTCATGGTTTAGGCGCACTCTATATAATTTATTATGCTTAGTCCAGGTCATCTGAAATTAATTACGAAGAAAATTTTATTTTGTACTTAGTATTAATTTTATTTCAATCAATAATTGCTTACAAAGCAAAAAAATATTTCCGAAATGTTTTAGCTCAAATTTACCAAAAGAAGAAAAACAGCCTCTCAACTCACCTTGATCAGAATTTTATTTTAATTTTATTACATTTTATAATTAATATTAGTCATATTTTGAACCCGTTCTTTATGACAGCTAATAAATGTATTTTGAACAACGCTCCAATGTTT